TCTTGGACACTGACAGTCCACCACTGCGCATATCAACCAAAACAAGCCGTAAAGGAGAGGTGTATTATTGCAGAGATAGCGAACTAACAGTCCAGGACTGTGTGGAAGGGTACACTGTTTCACAAGGCGGTGATGGGTAGGGACTGGAGAAAAAGCCAAAAAGAATAGAATTATAATCCTAGTCTTCAGTGGCGTAGCTGGTGGGGAGGGGGAAGTTGGGGAGGGGGAGGGTAATCCGCACGTTAATTTCAGTCTACAGTATGGATAGAGATAATCCCCATGTGGCAAAATGTCTAGTTTCTGAGTTAATTTAAAATTACTTCAATACTTCTGTTTTAAAATAAATCTTAAATCTAAGTAAAGCGTCGTGTTTTCAAATAACATAGGACTACAACTTTTTTCAAATCAGAAAGTTGCTATGCCGTTGAATAAAAATAAACTGCAAGCTTTGTATTGCAGGCGGAACCATGTCTTGTACACCAAAAGGAAAAGATGTGGATTGTGTCCCTTAAACTCGTTTGAACTATTCAAATCTTCTGCCTCGAAAATGTTTACGATTAATTTAAAAAAGCGAAGTCAAGAAAAAAAACGACTGGATCACATGACGTCAATAACCTCTAACCCTCTGAAATCAAGTAAAACAAAACAAACCTAACCGAATGCTCCCTGGATATAAAAAAAAAGCTGCGTGTACAATAAATATTTAAATGCAGCCAAGCCACCATACAGTTCTGTGGTTAGCAGGTGCTGCCCACACACCTGAAACACTGCCTGGCTGATTCAAAAGATGGAATGTCTAGCTGACAACTTAAACTTACCTACAGAGCCGGCTAATCCCCGAAACGAAACAAAATACACCGAAAGACGAGACAAATAGTGAAATTGTTGACGATTTCAATGCTCATACATCACAGACTGACAGGTACTGAAATATTTATTTTATTTTATAATTCTTAAGTCGAGTCAAGTTTGAATAAAAGAAAGCTAAGAGACAAAAAAAAAAACTCTTAAAGAAAATAAAACAAAGTGTTCCATTCCCCCGCTATCCATTTTAGCATCAAGTGTTAGATTGTGCCCTGTCAACTTCTTGGGCACACACTTGTCATTAGCCGGGAGATAATGGGAAGATCGGCTGGGATAGAAGGGGAAAAGGTTATTGTAAGTGCCGGGAGACGTGGTGTTTTTGTCTGTTTGTTTATGGTGCACGAATGGGGGTTGAAATTAGACAATTTATGGGAGTTGGGTTTTGTCATATTGAGTGTTTTTAAAAACGTATCTTTAAACGAGACAGTGTAGATGAAATAAGAGAAAAGAAGCGATATCGAAAATAGAGAGGGATAAAAAAAAAGGGATGGATGAAGAGTAGATAAATAAGGGAAAGTAATAAAAGACTATATATATATATATATATATATATATATATATATATATATATATATATATATATATATATATATAAATATATATGTATATATATATATATATATATATATATATATATATATATATATGTATATGTATATATATATATATATATATATATATATATATATATATATATATATATATATATATATATATATATATATATATATATGAAACAGAAAAAAATAATATGAAAGAATGGTATGAGAGAAAGAGAGAACAAGAAGGTTAACGGAGAAAAAGAAAATAGGGAAGAATAAGAGAACGAAAAAAAAAGATTCTGGTAAAGAAAAATGGAGAAAGAAAAAAGAGGTTAAAAGAGGGAGATACTCAGCAGAAGCCTTAAGTATTTCACCAGAGGGAAATCTGGGTAATGTTATGTAACGGCAGTAGCCGCCAACTTCCGGGGAGGTAGTGCCAGTTCTGACACTCTCTCACACTTGTCCGATAATTACGTCACCCTTCTTCGGGGTAAGAAAAACAGTCCGGCTTAAAGGAAGGAAGGGGGGGGGCAGATGCTTATTTAAAACTGATGTTAATAATGAACGCTAATGAACTTTTTTTAAATAGATGACGGGAAACCGGAAATCGAGTTTTAAATGGGTGTAAATTAATGTATTTAAAGCGATTTTTTTTTTGTTATAGAAAAATATTTGAAGAAAATATAAGTAAATTTCGTGTGATGTTTGCAGGTAATGGGAACATGACACTGGCGGGGTTATGTAAGGTTTTGTATTTTGTTATCATTAACGACTTCAGGTCGAGATTAAAGAGAACAGCGCCAATTAACAGTTGTTGGATTTGTTTTTTTATGGGATTAAGTTTCGTTTCATGTTTCAGCTTACGTTGATGACCTTCAGGAAACATATTACAACCGGCTGGTTCGTGTTGAGAGTAATGGCAGAGTAAGGTAGAGTTTTGTTGATTAAATGTGTAGTGTTTGGTTACTATGATTTTTTTTTCGACAATGAGGAGAATTATGGCTGGACTGGTTTTACACGGGATAGATAAACATAATTATGTTAAGGACTTTTGTACACGGTGTGGCCTAGCGATAAAGCGCTAGACTGCTAACCCGAAAGACTTGATTTTGAATCCAGGTTGAAGTCATGAGAACGTTCCTAAGTCCACCCAGCTCTGATGGGTACCTAACTCACTTTAAAGAAAGTAAAGGCGGCTGGGCAAAGTGCTGACCACACCTTCCCTTCATATGCCGAGGTCAAGAAACTGTAACTCATCTGCCCAATGGATCGCTAGGTCTAAAGAGAATTCTTTCCTCATATAATTATGCACTAGTGCTGACCACGCAATACCGTGGTCACAGAAACAGGTGAACTCTACTTCACTTGTCCCATGGACAGACGGGTTCAAAGAGGGGACTATACTAACCAATAACATAATGCAGAATAATGTGTGCCCTATCTAGCCCTCACCCCCCCCCCCGACACTGGTCTCACACCTCTCATCTGACGTAGGACTTACACCCCCCCTCCCCCCTTACTGCAATGCTAGCATGATTACCCCTCGACCGACAGTATGTAAGCGGCTTAAACTACAACGTTATGGCAATAGATTAAAAAACTTATTCCGATCATTTGTATAGCATTATCCGGCCAATGATATTACTAAATATTGTGTCTCACTCACTAACAAACAAAACATGTACCCATAAACTGAGAAAATGTTTCAATGGAGATTAATTAATAAGTGAAATATAACCTATCTATATGTTGAATTAAAAAGAACAACAACAACAAAATAATATAGTTTAAGAGATACGTGTGTTGCAGTTTAATCATCCTTTACTTGACAAAAGCGAAGATACGAGTAAAAGTAAAAACTACCAACTGGGCGCTTGTCAACTGGGCGGTTGTTAAATGAGCGGTTGATGACCAACTGAGCGACCAACAGAAGTTGATCAATGAACCCTTCTGTACAGCTCACCAGAGAACCAATGGCAACGGTCATTGTTTGGGCAATTATATCTGACCACCTCTCCCAACCTACCCACACACACACGCACCCACCCACACACACACGCAACCACCAGCGCATACCTACTGCGAGCTTATTTACATGGAAATTATAATCTACTGCGTCGATAGGCATGTAGGAATTAATGCTGCGTTAGTCATGTGGATCAAAGCCGGAAGATTAAAAGAAAACATTAAAAGGGATCAGTCAACGGATTAGGATACATGACTCAAATACGTAACTATGCAGCCGTCAACATGGTTACTTATACAGGTCAGCCTACATCCTCATCGGCCACACAACCACGACACCAACCAGATTAGCACACAGCCTCGAGCGCCACACCAACATCACATCCATACAGCCACTACACCAGTCGCACATCATCACCATCTATACAACCACTACACCAACCAGATTAGCTCACAGCCTCGAGCGCCACACCAGCCCCACAGCCACTACACCAACCACATATCATCGCAGCAACACCAACCACACATTATCATCATCCACACAGCCTAGCCAACCACATCAGCACACAGCTTCTACCGCCACACCAACACCACAGCCACACGACTTTGCCAACCACACATCCTCATCAATCAAACAACGTACATTATCAACCACCACACCAACCACAAATCACCTTCCACACCGCCACACTATTTAAGTCTCTTCACTCACATAACCAAACAAACTATTCACAACAGCTTTGATTACTCATTCACATACTTCAGTAATCTTTTCATCTGGCTTCTATTTTAAACTGCTGTAAACTAGTCTACCTGTAGCTTTGTTTTATTCCTAAATTCTTAATGCATCAATAGACTATTATTTAGCTGCCTCGGTGAAAGTAAAGAACGAATCATTTCGTATATGGTTATGGCATATATACTATATAAATAAATAAATAAATAAATGTATATATATATATATATATATATATATATATATATATATATATATATATATATATATATATATATATATATACTATATATATATATATATATATATATATATATATATATATATATATATATATATATATATATATATATATATATATATATATATATATATATATATATATATATACTATATATGGATTTGAGGGCATGTATCAATGTGTAAGTAAGCTAAAGTGTTAGGATATTAGAATACACTTTATTGGTGTATTCTAGCATATTAACATCTACCTTAGTACTAAAACACACAATAACATTTTAAAATAAATAATTTATTTTAATTTTAGATTATTTTAATTTGCCTTCATAATTAGTGATCATAATGCAATTATACTTATCAGGTACCTTCTTTTCAAATGAACCTTATAATAACTAGGTCTAGAGATCTATGTAAAAACTATGTATTTCCACTAAACAAAAAAACCTACCGTTTTCAGCACCCGAAATAATTCCGTGGTCTTAATATAACAGCACGTCTTAAATAGTCGTTAATCAGATGTAATGTACAAAAGCGATGACACTATCAATAACACTTTATTAGACATCGGCTGTGCAAGGCTCCTGATGAACAGCTGTAACTAACATTCGTTATTTAACCGTCAAAATCGCAACACCATGAAACTAGAGACCTACCTGTAATGGTTTTTAGAAATATTAGTCCAAACACACACGTATTACAACTGAACGTAAAATTTAACGATTTTTTTTCCCCACTTCTATTTCTATAGATGAATTGACGTCAGTCCACAGCGCTGGGTGCCACGCAGGTTTAGGACTGGCGGGGCATGGTAAACAAGACGCCCCGTGGCTCAGGTAGTTGGGGAGTGAGAGAGGGAGAGCAGCGTTGGTGGAGCGGACCCTCGGCGTAGCAGCGGCGTTGGTGGTAGGGTCGACATCCCAACTGGCGCGGGGCTGGTTTCACTCTAGGCACCGGGTAGACATCACTCCTGGCATAGGATGGGGGGGGTGGGGGGGTTGGGGGGGGGGGGATGGGGGACACAGCGTAAACAGTTGATACCAATTCTATGTTGGAAGATCTTCTAAATATAGCAGCGTTGATTTAATTCTCTTTTACACACCCAACTTTAGAGTATTGCTCATTACCATTAATATCTTCAGAAACCTTCAAATAACACACACACACAAACACTACCAGCCACACACACACACACACACACACACACACACATATATATATATATATATATATATGTATATATATATATATATATATATATATATATATATATTCATATACATATATATATATATATATATATATATATATATATATATATATATATATATATATATATACATATATATATATATATATATATATATATATATATACATATATATATATATATATATATATATATATATATATATATATATATATATATATATATATATATATATATATATATATATATATATATATATATATATATATATATATATACATATATATATATATATATATATATATATATATATATATATATATATATATATATATATATATATATATATATATATATATATATATATATTCATATATATATGTGTGTAGTTGTATAGATATATATATACACACACACACAACACACATATATATATATATATATATATATATATATATATATATATATATATATATATATATATATATATATATATATATATATAATTTGTTTATTCATTTATTTTTATGTATAGTTATATAAATAGAGTTATTTGGTTATATGTATCGTTCCATTAATATGTATTTATTATAATGGTAATTGATATTAATTTTCTTCAACTATAATGTGATTTCATCCGTCAGTTGATAGCTCTATCAATTTCTCTCATACGCCGCTACAAGTATGGAATAGTCGATACTTACTTGTTACCCTAGTCGTATAATTACGCTCGCGTGTACGTTTCTAAGTATCGTAATTCGTGGTTTGTTTTTGTCAGCTACTGAATTAAATTATCGCAGCATGGTGGCAAAGTTAAAATAAATTCGTTTTTTTTTCCAGTAGGCTACCAGTATTTATGTTACATTTAAGTGAATTTTTAAAAAATATTCTGGCCACACAAGATGAAAATAGATAAAATAATTTTAAACAAACATTTTAAACCCTAAAAAAACCATCAAAAATCGCATTTACAAAACTGCCTACAGCAGACATAAGAATCTTTAAGACGCCAAAAGAGCGTGTATAACCACGTTAACATGATCTAATGCCATCCAAAAAAAAAAACTCTGCTATCACCATCCACCACGGCGGTAGAACAAAGACGGTTCTGTTAAATGTTTTATAAGAAAATAAACATTCATATTATACCGAGTTAAGGGGCAAATTAGAGCGATTACAGATGGGATATAACTCTGTAAGTACGTGTGTTTGTTTAGTTTAAGCTAATTATCCCGGCCCATTTCCTTATATTTATTTACTTTTAATTAGATTGATGCTTGGTTTTCTTTAAATTTATATTTATATTGCCTGTTTGCCTTGGCTTGCTTTATGCCAAAAACGAATTTTTTTTTATCTTCCAGTTGCTGTTGGGGTATATATTTCCTCGCGTGTTTTGCAGTTTCTTTACTGTGCCAGATAAGCGATGTTCGTGTGTTATCTGCTCCTAACAACAGATACACAAGTAAGCCAAATTTCAACACATAGGGGGGGGGGGGGGGGGAGTACCGGAGGAAAATACAATCCTAGCTTTTTCTCTTGGTTAATTTTTAACAAAAAATAAGTTTTCTGAGGTTTCATTAATTTAAAATTTAAATGCTTGTTATTGGATTTTTAAAAAAATCGTCTTAATAATGTCTACTTGTTATCGAGTTTCATATTTCTTATTAGCTGAAAAAAAAATTAAATGGTTCAGATTTAGAAGCGCATGCGCAGTAATAAACATGAGAAATTAGCGCGGTTGCAACATTGAAACAAATGCTCTTCTTGGCATTCGTTTCTACACGGAACACACGGGGATAATAAATAACGGGGAGGTTTGTTATTTGACAAGCTTGCGCCAAGTAAAACCAGTGCACTCATTCCCAAAGTTGATTTACAATCTCGGCAAATGGAAATTTGCATCAGAAGTGTTGAGTCACATTAGAAGAGAAACTGGCCAGGTTTTCGCCACAAGTGAAGCCGTTAATGAATTTAACATGACCTCTATCCCCTTTCGAGTGTTCAAGCTATTCTCCTAGGAACCTTCGTTTAAATACGTTAAGTGTAAAAATACATACACTGGCGGTCCGGATTAAAGAACTAATCTCTATAAATAACATTTGAAAAGGGAAGGATTATCGTGCAGATTTAACTCAACTGGTAGAGCACACGTCAGCAGAGAAAGTAGACCCTTCAGATATTGGGGTCTGCTTGTGATTGATGGGAAATCAATACTAATGAACCAGCACGCTTTCTCCTGGCAAATGACAATTAATCAAATATTAACAATTTCCAATTTCTTCCACTGCTGCCGTACGAGAAATCCCCGGCTGTCATTTTTTGTTTAAAACGAGGCCGGTTGTAAAGTGGTATTTTATACCCGTCACGAAATCTCTGTTAAAATCTGAATAGTTATTTTTTTAGCCTTATTATTAAAGACACTTTGAAATTTTATTATAAGCTATCGCTCACTTGTGTACATAAAACAACACCAATATGCATTAAAATGTGTCTTGATTTCAGCGAAACTTAATCTTTATGTACACGATTTCTTGCACCAAGATGTAGAGTTGTTTTAATCACATTTTGCTTGCTACATCGGTTTCTTATATAGTTTTGTTCCTATTTTTAAACTGCTAATAAAATTTAATCTTATCTGTTGTTTATTTTTATACCAGCTACATTATCAACTCTACTGCTTCCCTTTTTTTCTCTTCTATGCGATTTTTTTATTGCGAATTTAAAAAACAACTGGCATTTGAAAAAAAATGAAAACGATAACGTTCCGGTGCTAATGTCGTTTTGCAAACACACGCATTCAAAATTAAACTCAGATATCTTCAATTTTAACAGCTTGAAACCTATACATTTTAGCGCTTAAACATTAAACCGTAAAAATATTATTTTTAGTAAAAAAAAAAAAAAAAGAATCTACTTTTAATTTATTTACACTGCAGTACCACTGTGACGTCAGGAAATAGTTGTCAAACATTCTACTAGTGATTAAATAGTGGAGGCAAATAGAGTAAAATAGCTTGTTGTTTCGTCTTAGGGCAGTCTTGACACCTGAAATACCGTGGACTGGAGACGCCCGATGTTTGAATAGACCTAGCCCCGGGACTACCTGGCCGTGAAATGTGGCCCACCCTCTAATGTAGCGCCCCCTCCTTACGTAGCGGGGCCCCCCACTTAGCGGTAGGCCAGTAATGCATAGATCAACACGGTGAAGGACTGGCTACTATATACACACGACTAGAGGTTTCCCGTACGGCTTTGGTCTAACAACTAAAGTAAAGATTTAATCGCTGATACAGAAAGTAAACAACTGCACCACAAGCGGAGAATGCTCGAGTGAACTTACTACAACTTGTTATTTTAATGATGCTATTTTTAGGTTCGGGTAATTTTAAAAACAGAAGAAAAAATCTATGGAACAAATTAGCTTCATTAAAAAATATTTTTATTGAGTTTTTGTTAGAACAGAATACATTCTTCCACAATATATAATAGGTGATGCGTGTTTTTTTTTTTTTTGGAATAATTGGGACGAATTTTCAACAAACATTTTAAAAAAATTAACTATATTTAAGTGGAACTTTAAAAATAAAGAAGAGGGAAACACTATAAAAAAATCAGTTTAAAAAAATCGAGACATGATTTTGTTAGAACTAAATAAATACTTCCATTTTCCAGATGCAGTTTTTGGTACATGCAAAAAATACATCTACCACAAGAAATATTCCCATTTTAATGGTTTGTTTATGTTTTGTAATTTCAACCAAAGACACCCCATCACGTGACTGGTCACTACACAGTGTTTCTGTGTCGTGTAGTAAGATCCAAAGCGTCTTGGGACAAGCTGGAAAAATTTTAAACCCGAACATAAGGTCGACCCTGCAGTAATAACGCGCTGTGCGATTTGCCGAGTTTGACCAAGTTACGTCAAAGCCACTTAGTGGCGTTTCGGTGGAGCTGATTTGTTGATGCTGACACTCGGTGGAAGAAGCCGTAGTCCGTGGCCGTCCAATTCATGTTTGCCAGTGGCCGTCCATAGCAAGTCGTCATCGACCGTCCATAGAAATCGCGCACTGCTTGTTTATCCGCGGCCTCCCCCCCCCCCCCCACCTGATACTGCGGCCGTCCACGGCCTGTCATCACTGGTAGTCTTATTTAGGCCGTCTACCCTCTGTGCAGCTATCGCCTACCGTGCATTGGCCGTCTACACACAGTGGCCGTCTACTGCTTGTTTATAGTAACCTCAAATTAAAAACACAGAAATCCTACACCGTTTGAATAGTGTTCTTGTATAGTATGAAAGTGGCCGTCCACCGCTTGCTTTAATTTCGTGGCCGTTCACTCCTTGTCTGTCATAACCGTCTACTGCTTCTCGGCCTTGGCCGTCCACCACTAGTGTGCCGTGGCCGTCTACCACTTGTCACCAATTTGCTCACGTGCGCAGACAATCCTTCTAGTGATGTGAAATTATTATAGAAAGTTTGCTGGCCGACTAGAGAAGTGCGAAATTTGGAGCCAATTTCAAGGGACGTGACTCTACAGCTGCCACTGCCCTCTGGCGAGTCCCCTCCCCCTCCCACCCAATATGTAAACACCGGTGCATTAATTCTTCCCGGCAACGGTGTTGTTACACATGTTTGTTGTTACTTCATGCTGTGGTCGAACGGTAGAGCGCAGAATAACAAACCACGAAGGTCAAGTGTTTTAACAACCACCGGTGAGATCGACCTTCTTTCGAGTCAGGCGACCATATAAACAGATTGACTCTACTTCATCTACGACGTAGACCGTTATGTTCTGAACAAAAGAGGGTAAAAGTACCACTTTCAGTAGACGACGTATTGTTCAATGAAGATTTTTCCTCATTTTCCAGCTGTAGTTTCTAGTTCAAAGCTTCCTTTATCTCAACCCAAGGGAGGATACTAAGGGAGATGATTATTTCAGCATGAGTTACGTTCCATTGTAAATTACATTGTTATTGGATATTGCTATTAGAATTGACAAATTACTATTTAATATATAAGTATATAAGAATATAAACATATTTTAGTCTATGTATAAATCAGTGGTACTAAACCTTTTTGAAAGTTTCATATGCGCATTCGCACTGATTCGCAGAATCCTTCCTAACTTAATAATAATAGGTCTATCAACAGCACTGACAAAATCTGATCGTGAATCATATGGGGTGAGTCTTGACATCCGGCAAACTCCTGATACTGACTCACCGAACTCCTGGGGTTCTATGGAACCCAGGTTAAGAACCACTGATATATATATATATATATATATATATATTCATATTAACTCTTTTCTGTTGCAGTTTAGAATAGCATCCATCTAGAAAAAATTTGGAATTTCCCGGTTGTATTGTAGAGTTATTTCCCATAAGCGCCAACATCTTACCTCAATGTCTCACAATGTGTATGTATTGTTTGAATTGTCATATCTCTACCCGCTACCCTCTTAAAACAAAAGACCGTGTGTGGCGATATACACCGCTGTATATAAACTTGCGGCTGATCTGCCGACGGCTGACAAGAGTTGTTACACTAACTAATCGTCTGCTGGGAGATGTTTGAATAATACTCTCGTCTGCCGGGAATGGCTTTAAGTTAAAGTTTAACCCCTTGACAAGATCGCGTTATAAAAATGGTTTACGGCCACACCAGAGCGACTTATCGCTCAAGAGCAAATAAACATTCATAGCATACTTGCTAGGTATTAAAAATAAGTAGAGCTTTGCTATTAAAAGAAGGAAAAAAAAAACTCCCTTTAGTTATCTTCCTTTATTCACGCTTACCGCCCTTGGAAATTATCTCCCGTTTTAATCAAAATTATCATCTTAACTTCTTGTGAGTTTTCTCCCTTTGTGGAGCTTTTCAGCTTGACCCACACCAAACAGAATCCCTGATTGTTCGATACGGCTGGTGGGTTCAAGGATAGCGTTGTTTGACCGCGGCACGTTTCGAATGAATGCAGCTCCAACCCGCTTTTAACGCTGACTTCTTTAAAATTGTTTCGCTGTTTTTTTTTTCTTTTCTGAAGTGGTTTTTATGGAACAATATTGAACTGAACTCTGAATGTCATTGGTGAAGGCATTCTGAACATTAGATCTAAACATTCTGCAGCTTGACTCTTTTACATTATTGATTTGACTTCACTTTCATTTTGTCAGTGCTGAAAAACTGCTAGGCCTGCATGAGGGTAAGGGGCGGCTACTACGAATGGCAAGGGTAAGGGAGATAAAAAATGAATACGTCTGTGGGTGCAAGGGACAGGAGAAGCCTTTTAAACGGCTTTAGCCGACACATGATTTTATTGACTTGACTCTTTGGCGTTTGAAGTCAGAGACCTTTTTTCAATTACGTATAGGGTCTACCTGGTAATTTATTCATTTGATCGTTTGTTAAATGGAACACCTCATCACGTGGTGTTTGGTTTCACAGGGGCTTAGCGTGTTGGTGGATCATGTGATCATTTAATCACGCAGAAAGTAGAAGTAGAGTGGTTCTGGTATCTCCTGGAGTAGAGTGTACAGTTAGTCTAATATAGCATGAAGTAGAAAGTATAGTTATTCGGACAATCTAGCATCTCCTGACTCTTGAAGTAGAGAGTAGAGTCTAATATGGCCTGTAATAGAATGTAGAGACATTCTAGCATCTCCTGAAGTAGAGAGTACAGTTAGTCTAATATGGCATGAAGTAGAAAGTATAGTTATTAGGACAATTCATGACGCAGAAAGTAGAATCATTCGAATGGGGCATCTAACCTCAACCAGAAGTGGCGTCGAATTCTGACATTGAGTAAAGATTCCACTTTAAAGCTAACGATCCATTGGGCAGCTGAACGTGAGTTAAGTACCCATTAGAGCTGGGTGGACTCAGGGACTCAACAGACAAGAGTTCTACCGCTGGGCCACTCCGTTCTAAATCTGACATGTAGTGAAACAAAAAGGAGAGTGATCCCGAACCTATATGCAGAGTTTCTTCCAGGCAACTCTTCTGACGGGGGGGGGGAGCCAAATTTTTTTACCGCCCCCCCCCCCCGAATGAAATGAAATTTATATAATTTATATAGAAAATATATACTTTTAACAGTCCCCCCCCCCGAAGAAAGTCTACCGCCCCCCGAAAATTTCAAGTGCCCCCCCCCCCCGGAGAAAAAAGTCTGGAAGAAACACTGCCTATATGACGTCGAAAGTTGGATATTAGGGTGATGATGCAGAAAGAATGCTTTAGTTTGCGTGGCAGCATAATAGTTTAAAACATGTGATGGAAAAGTCATTCGATTAATTCGCCGATTTCAAGAAAACCTTTCTTAAAATCGAGTAATCAGAAAACAACTTTGACCTTTTTTTTAAATGAACCGATTAAAAAAACAGTTGTTACATGCTTAAAATCAAATTCTAACACACAAACATTGACTTTTCTTTTATAAAAATCAATAAATTTAAAAGTGAAAGAACACTTCTTTCACTTTTAAATTCAGAGGTCCCCCCCCCCCCCCCCCCCGAGAAAAAAGTAGAAGAAACACTGCACATTTGTGTACGTTTACAGAAAACAAGATCAAATTAAAAAAAAAAGAAACCTCTGTTATAGTGAGTATTTCAAGATTGCACTATTAACGTTACTTGAAATAGTAAGCTTATACATGCTAATTAATCTTGACTTAAATATCTCTCTAAGAGAGCTTAAGTGCACTTTTTTAACACAAATAACTTTTTTAAGGTCAATAAATGTCCCAACAGTTATTTCCCGCCTATGGCTAAAAAAAATGGAGTAGGTTGTGCTTTTCTAGCATTATCCGGAGTCTGAAAGTGCAAATATAACCAGATAATATATCAGCAGTGTGATGATCTGACCCAGAGTGCATTATATTATTAGGCAATGTGCTTGGCTGAGCGTAACAACGTCAAAAGCGTGCGCGCACATTCGTTTAATATATTATTAATTGTTTATTAATATAATTTTTTTTTTATTTAGGATACAAATTTTACTTAATGGCATTTCAAGGATTATTAAGGAAATTAAAGAACTACTAATTTGTACTTGTAATTCCCATATAATGTTTCTTTTTACTTTCTCGTATATACGAAGTAAAGAGAAAGTATTGTAATCGTGCACAAAAATCAATTGAAATTTTAACAATTTTTACCGTATTACACCTCAGTCCTTCATCACATCCGAAGTATAGAGGACTTATTTTAATCGGGCAAAAATTATCAATCCAGATTTATCAAAATTAAGAGGTTTTATGCGTAATCCAGTTTGAAAAACTGGGCGTTGCAATTCTGTCCGTATGTCTGTGTGTGTGTCTGTCCGTGTGTAAACACGATAACTTGAATACCGTTACAGCTAGGTTGATGAAATTTCATATATAGGTATTTTATCAAAATCGTAGATCCGTATCAACTTTTGAGCGATTCCCGATAACCGGAAGTGGTACTTTTTCTACTTTGAATTTTTCAAAAGCCTATAACTTGAGTACTATTTCAGATAGATAAATGAAATTTCACATGTAAGTAAAAGATCTAATTCTCTACCTTCTGTTTAATTTTGAGTAATTTCCATTGACCGGAAGTAGTAATTTACGCTACTTCCGATTTCTCAAAAAACTAATGCAAATTTTTAAAGTACTAATAATATTGCGCACTAGTATGCACTTTTTTATTTGGCGTTCACTTGGTGTGCAATTAATTTGTCTACGAGATTTTATTCTATTTTTAAAACTTTAGGTATTTAAAATGGATTAAAAATCATGTCTATAGCCCGAGTTCCCATCCCCTGTTGTTTTATATAAGAATATTCGAGAAAGTTTAGGGGAGATCACTCCCGGTTTATTTAAAATGCATTTGCCGCATTCCCACCCCCGCCCTTAACATAAAAATATGACTAGTGTGGGCCAGACTACCAAGTTAAATTATTATAGTGTTTTAAAAAAAAAAAACGGAATTCTGCAAGTTTCATACAAGGTCTAGATCTAGTTGTTTTTGTTCAGACCTTTGCCGCTTGCCGTATCTAATATTTTAAAATAAAAACAAGTGCTACGTTCTTGTTAAGCTCACGACACAGACGTTAAAAAATAAAAATGTAAATGGTTATAAGAGACAACTACAACAACTCTAATTTCACCCACACCCTCAAACTAACCGGATAACCCTAAGATAAAACCAGACTAATTGATAATTCGGTAGGCTGTGTAGTTATGATAAGAACTTTATAGCTTTTATACAAAATACTACAGCTGGTGATTTTAAACAATAATCGATCTACAATCGAATTAGAATAAAGTAAAATAAATAGTTTTGTTTTCTTTTACTTTTTATTTTTATCTAATGGCTAACTGTTAAAAAACTGTTGAGGATCAAGGATGACTGTTTCTTTTTAAAAATTGAAATTTAATATTTACGTGTAGATCTTTTAGTAACGAATAATCATTTTTTTAAAAGTTTATTTAAATCCTCACCGAATTCCAAGTGAGATTTTAATACCACTAAGTTATAGCGCGAAATAAATAATTTCCGGGGCTTAGGCTTTTTAATTTACTTCTTCAGCTGGAGATCATTTCCTCGAAAGAGTGCGAGAAAAGCATGGTGGTGATATCTGACGTTAACAACATGTTTTGGGGTAAAGCACTTTTCCCGAATGTTTGAATTAATCGCTGTTACTTTAAACTTAAAACTACTGTTTTTTAAGATAATAAGTTAATAATGCTCCAAAAATAAGTAGATCTAGATTAGTCCTAATATTCTATTGTTTTAAAAAATGTCACGTGTCGGAATTGATTGACAGGCGCTCAATTTTTTCAAAATTTTTGAACTTGCTTAACTTTAACAACCCACTGAGTTCGTTTATCAATTGATTTAATCAATTTATAGACTTCAAACGTCGGACCCTAATCACTAGTGAACTGTGGTTCAGAATGTGTCATTTTAAAATTAATAAATCATTTCCAATTTTGCTTTGTAGCAGAACAAAGACATGGTTACAGGCTTGATCAATGTTGTCTTTTTGATAATTTTGTCCATAATAGTATTTTAATAGATGTGGTTACTCTGTGTGAAAAATATGTGTAAATAGAATTTATAAGGGGAAATGGTACCAATTCAAGATTCATCTGGATCGAACATTTGCCAATAAAACATGCTTACTGCTTAACTGACAGTAACACGCAGCCATTTTGGAGCCTGGTTTAATCAACACTTCTGAGAAGTTATGGGTGCAATTAGGGCAGGAATATGATGCTTCTGTTAATTAAAAAAGAATTGGGGTAGTCAACCTTGGTTGTAGAAAAGTTATAAAATGGAAACTTTATCATAAGCCTACCTAAATGTTTGGGTTTTTAAATAAATAGGCTACAACCTAGATTTTCGTATCAAATATTAAAACGCTTAGGCCCTATAGTGCCCTTATTGTTCTGATGTCTTACATTAGCATTCAGGGTAATGGCAAATTTTATCAGATCTGCATAAAACAATCTAGATGAACCTCTAAAAAACCTCAATTTCTCACTATTTCAAATCATCCAATCACATTAGAGGCCAAATTGTTTTGTCATCTATGGACTAGGCATTTACTGTTTTGACACTTGTTGTTGTAACGTTTACCTATCTACCAGCCAGATAGATGGTGAACGTCCCCGGATTCTTTTTTCGGGGTTATATGCAAATGACTTAAAGCCTAAATGAATGAACACTAACTCAACAACACACTAGGGCTCGATCTCGATGTCTAGGGAAAACTAGTGATACTATTGAAGTTAACAACTCATTCAATCTGCATACAACCTTTAATAAGCGAACACAGTTGTGGCAGAACACTAGGTTAAACGAGATAAAATATTTAATTTAGAAAATAACAAAACCCAACTTACAAAGCGTAAGAAAAAACACTATCACAGATTTTACACTGTATAAAAATAGCCACAGGTCACACAACACTGCTATAGCTTCAAGAATCACTTGGCGACAAGTAATATTATACTAGAATACTAAAACAACTTAAGAAAGCATAGCACACACAGGACTTAAGTTCTCTCACGTTCAAATGGTCAGAATCTATTGCCGGACAAAATGGACGGCCTGGTCTTAATAGACCGTTTGATCAAGGTAGACTGCCTTGTGTTGCGAGTGTCTGATCCAGTTAAAGACTTATGCAACAGGGGAGGTTATTCTCAACTCATGTAGCCATTGGTTGGGATGGTCATCTGATCAGAATCAATCAATCAGATCCTGATGGAAAATTTCTGGGTCCTAGACACCCTTAATAAGACAGTGGAAAAACCCCGGTAGTTGCACCATCAATCCATATAAGGTATTATACAATGTCAAAATAAAACATTACTGGACCTAAGTAGGTCACATTGTATAAGGCATAACCAGTTTGCTACTACCAAATAAGCACAATATCATGTTCAGTTTGTTTACATTTAACATGAGCTTTCACTAAGACAATATTCACTATACAGACAAGTCTTTAACTTAGATAGAATCTTCCACCTAAACAAATAAGACTAGGCCTATAGTATAGTATAGTTCTACTCGCTTTTGATGAGACCTAGCTTTAGTACAGAATAATTAACGCACAAAAACATCACACATTCTCAACATGTTTGAGTGTCAGTCACTCCTCGCTATAAAACTTGAAATGCAGAGAGAGAATAATGTTCAACTAATATTTTCAGTAGTCTTATCATTCTCACATACATTACAACCATTCACATAATTGAAGTTAAGTCTGATACTGTTGTATTATCATTATATTTTACTTCTTATATCCATACTCTGGGGGTAATGCCCTGTTTCCGGATTATCCATATAAGCTATGCCATGAGTTTTAACGCTTTTTATCTCAAAAGTAGACTGGGGGTCCGTTGTGGATGTCTTAGATGGATGACCCCATATTTTAAATGAAGTTTTAAGCTCTCTTCCAAACAGGTTTTACTATATTCATAGATTCACAACACTTTTTTTTTATCTTAAAGGTGTAACACTTGATGGCGGAAAGCGCTACTCTCAACATGTGACCAAGGGTTTTCATATCTCCATGGCGGCCCTAGAAAAAGGTATTAAGCAATTGTTATACTTAACAATTATATGATTAGCTTTGAAAAATGTAATTTCATAGAATTTTATTTTAACTTTTATTTTCTTTGGATTTCAGACAAGCCAAATGAAAATGTACAAGTAATGCTGCAGCAAGAGTCCTCAGAGTTCTTGCTGTGTACATTAAACAGTACAATTCTGCAACAACCACTTGACCTTAACTTTGCTCATGGAGAGAATGTTACTTTCAGTTTAAATGGTTCAGGTATAATGTCTAAAGTATTTTTTTTTGCTAGTCCCGAACACTATCTTAAACAAGACTCCTTTCTGGTTTGCTGCACAAATTTCATCATTTACTTTTTAAAAAAAAAAATATTCTTCTGCTAAAAAAGATTAATGTATATTTATCTTTTATCCATAGTTTTACAACTTTAAAATATACCTCTTCTCTTTTACCTTGCAACATACAATTCATCGTTCAGCTTATGTTTCTTGATGCCTGTTCACATGTATTTCCATCGATTACTTTACATAATTGATTGTATTTTAATTTCTTTTCATTATACTCCTTTTTGTTTTTTTAGGAGTTGTCCATTTAACAGGATACATCATAGAAGAGGAGCCATTTGATGACTCTTGCTGTGACTCTGAAGAAGGTACATAGTTTTATTCTTTAGAGTGAAAATACTGACATGCATTGTATCGCTTACTGTTTCTTGTTCATAACTCATTTAACACATGAATTCCTATCTTCAGAAGCCCCTTCTCTGGTAGATACATCTGCTGAACTTAGTATGTCAGGTATTTCACCTTTATTTATTCATTTTTTTTAGTTTATTGATTTTTTTTTTTAACTCAGAAGGACATTTCTACTCATTTACTATGATAAACTTTTTAGGTGGTAAAAAGAGAAAAGCTTTGGAATCTCAAAGGCTAGCTAAAAAAATTAAAATGCTATCAGATAGTGTTGGAGATGAGGATGATGACGATGACAGTGAAGATGCAGACTACAGCATAGATGATGAAGAAGAAGATGAAGAGGTGATTGTATATCTCTTTGTTGGATTTAAAAAAAAAAAACTTTAAACTGTTAACTTATAAAACATGGGATAAATCGTATACTTATTTTAAATAGTTCATGACATTTTATTGTCTTGTGAAACACAAAAGCTCGGGCTCATGAGTTCAAACCCCGGGCAGATCTTGCTCAAGCTGAGAAATTACTATGGAAGACAATCCAAACAAACAGGCAGGCTGGAATTGAAGTGAAAAGCCTCTATGGCACGTAATACTTAGTTGTGTTGGAGGAAATCCTGTCCAATATTACAATTAAGTACTAAGAACAAAACACAAGTTTAATTATTCATCAGGCATGCAGAGGTCAATAATATTTTTTTATTTTTTTTCCAGTTCTCAGATGATTTTGAAGAAGGTAGGTGCATCACATTTTTTGGTACTGCTAAATATATTTAACCATGTTGGAATTAATTATTAACTTGGTTATAGTAATTGACTTTTATTAATTAAGATCTTTTGTTTCAACCAGATGAATTTGGAGACAGTGATTCAGATGATGATGATGGTCAGTATTTAGGAATTAAAGCTTTTTTGAGAGTTGGCGTATTATGAATAAATTATATTTAGTTAAAATTAAATCTGTTTCATAGTTTAGTGGTAGAAAGACAAGTAAGCAGTTTGTTCATATACAAGCCTGTCTACCAGGAGTACCAGTTTGTGAGTCAAGTATTGTATACCTAAAATTAAAACAAATTTTCTTTCAAAACCATTAGGAAACTTGTTACTGCATGATCATAATATAAAGTTTAAAATATTTTATTATTACACATTTCGTCTCTTTATTTACCATTATGAAATTTAATTGAAAACATACCACATGGTGTGGGCTTGTAATTTCATAAAGCATATCAGACATCTGTGATTAAGAGAAGAGTTTTCCGTAAATGACATCACTCTCTTCTGTGTTAAAGGGGACGATTACTTTAGTTATGTGGAGGATGAAGGGGCATTTAAATAGTGCGAAGTTACATTTTTTAATCTTAAACCGCTTCTTTAAAATGAATTTGAGCAGTTAGTCAACAGAAATTAAAGACCAATATACCAAAAATATTTTTTTATAGACAAAGCAGTTACGGCTAGGCTGTGCTGGATTATCTTTAGGGGTGTGGTTTCTTATGGGTGACTCCTACTGTAAACTAAATAAAGTTTGATGCATTGTATTTCTAAAATAAAATTATGATCATATGCATCTAACATTGAAATACTCTACTTAAAAATTGCTGTTGTCTGAGTATTGCATTAAGAATTACAGTTTCCAGATATTCCACATTATTGTTGAAAAGCTTGGTATTCGGTTTTTGCAGATGATGATGATGATGAAGATGAAAGTGATGAAGAAGAAGAAGAGTCACCAAAGAAAAAAGAAAAGGTTAAGACTCCAAAGCCTGACTCAAAAAACAATACACCAGTTCCCCAAAAGTCTGCACAGCAGAAAACTCCTAAGAAAGAGGAATCTACACCTTCACAGAAAGCAACACCAAAAGAAGCCAAAAAACAGAAACAGTCTGTGTCTGAGACACCAAAAACTCCAAAACAAAATGGCAAAGATGAATCACAAGTTGAAACAGTATGTTTTTGTTGTAGTCTTGTAGTTCATGTGCAATTGCAGTATTAGTGGTATTCATTTGTTTAGTCATAAAAATTATATAAATAACAGTCTGGTTAAAATATATTTTCAGCCTACCACACCTGCAGGGGAAAGTGCCAAAAAGAAGAAAAAGAACAAGAAAAAGAAGAACAAGGATAAAAGTGCCAATAACTCTATGGTAAGCATGCTAATAGTTCTTGCTTTATATTTACATTTAATCTGAAGTTCAATAAATGCTTGACAGTTGTTTTTTGGTGCATTTCGATTAATTTTGTCAGTCTTAATACTCTTAACTTTAAAGGGTTACATTTTTGTGTGCATTTTGAATAAATTTTGTCAGTCTACTTCGTTGGGTTAATGTTTAGTTGTAGTTTTAGAGTTAGTCATGAATCTTGACTGTTGGCTAACTGGGTTGACTTAAATGTTTAGAATGAGAGCACAGCTAGCACTCCAGGAAACACATCAGAAACAACACCATCTACTCCTAAAAAGAGAGTTGTAGCTGGGGGCACAGTGGTTGAGGACTTGAAGGTTGGACATGGGCCTGAAGCCAAACCTGGAAAAATGGTAATCATTTTTATATGCTGATCTTTGTGAATTGTTTAAGTTTTCTGTGTGACATTACTAATTTAAACTTTAGATAGTTAGTGCTACAATACAAAATTATTAGTCATACTTCGAGCAGTTATTAAATGTATAGAGTTTTACTATTTAAAGAAATAGCCCTTTACTAAAATTGACTTAGCACTTCAACTACACATCAACTTAAATTTATTCTAGAATAGAATCAACACATTTCTTAGCATGAGATTTTGATTACGTTTGCTATGTGTTTTAAAATTTCATTTCTCAGGTATCTGTTTACTATGTTGGAACCCTAGCCAAGAATAACAAAAGATTTGATTCATGCACAGATGGCAAGCCATTCCGTTTTAGACTCAACCAGGGGGAAGTAATCAAAGGCTGGGATGTAGGAGTCAATGGTGGGTAGATTTTATATTGTTTGGTGTTGATAGTCTATCTCTAAAAAACATTTATAAAAGGTTCGGTTTTGTTTTGCTGAGATTTTCTTAGACAAATAAATGGGAGCTGGGCAATTCTCTTCCCACTCCTGAAAACAATTAGTCTTCTCCCCCTGCCTGAAGACCCGGGGAACACATTTAGATATCTTTATGCTCTAGTCTGGGATGAGGGTTTTGAATCAGATTACGTGGTTAAGGAATATTCTGGATATACGCTTATTCTACATTCTGATTCTACATACCTGATTAACAATTATTTTGTTCTATTGTGTTCTATATTGGGCACTTATAAAATGCTCATGCTGTACTTTCTATGGATTTGTATAATCATAATCTGCTGAGGGTGGGACTCAACAGGGAGTAATGTCAGTGTCACAAACATGTATAGGTGTACAACACAAAACAGATGGTTTGGAGTTAACATTGCCAAAATAGCAAGCTTAGGATGAGAAATTGCCAGTCATGATATGTCATAATTTTTGTCAAGGCATAATAAAAACTGAATTTATCCGTCTTAACCAACAAATTTATGTTGAAAGAATTAGTTTTTGCTTACATTTTCAAACTTTTTTGCCATTTTATTTTCCTTAGGAATGAAAGTTGGAGGCAAAAGAAAAATAACAATCCCAGCAAGTCAAGGGTAAGTGGCTTCTATATCTTTTCTGTTTCTGTCCTTGTGTGCAAGTATGTCACCATGTCAAGACTGCTAGACTTATAATATATAATGGACATTATTATCTCTTCATGCTCTTTATTGTCTCTTCTGTTACATGGTTGAAAAGATGACTATTCAACTAAGCTTAACCATCCTTTTCTTTTTTTTTCTGTAGTTATGGCAATGCAAAACAAGGTCCCATCCCACCAAATTCAACCCTTGTGTTTGAAGTGGAATTGAAAGCTGTTAGTTGAAGGGATTAATAATTTTATTCATTTTAATGATTTTAACATGTGTTCATCAAGTATACTTTCCAATAATGCCATTTTTATTTTATTGCTTTTCTAATATGCCATATCAGACTGCATGTTTGGTTAGTAAATTTACAACAAACTCTGTGACAATATGTGGTTCATGTTAAACATTTGTATGTAAATCTATGTTAATTAAGGACAGATCTAAGTTCATGTAGGCTGAGTGTTAGGGATAAGATTAGCATTTTAAATAGGCAGGGCATTTCTAGGGAGGTCGCTCTGTTGCATGAATATTTTTTAATTTGTTGTTGTTGTAAATTTAAGCTGATAATTTTTAATGTTTGGTTGTTGATCTGATGGGCATTAATAAAATTGATGTTAAAAAAATTAATAAAATGTTTGTTTTTTTAGTTGATTTTTATGAGTCATTGTTTTAGAGCGGAGTCGGCGTGGTTGAGTTGGTAAAGCTCATGGTTGCTAAACCGAAAAAGTCTTGAGTTCGAACCCTCTGGCAGATGAGGCTCGTTAGCTGGGGACATCCACTCTTCTAGGAGAGACAACTCCAAAATTAAACAACTGCTGCCTTTTAGTTTGTTCTTGGTTGGACAAAGGCTATGGAAGCAAATCCAAAAAGAAAAGCAGGCTGAAATCGGAGTCAATGGCGCATAACCAGTTGACAAGTATCCTTAATTGGGATGGAGGCATGGTCGAGTTGGTAAAAGCTCATGGTTGATAAATTCAAAAAGTCAAGAGTTCAGATAAGGCTCTATCCCTTCCAACACTAAAAATTAAGAACGAAGAAGAAGAGCAGAGTTGATGGTCAATACATTTCTCTGGTGTAACATATGGTTGTTAAAAATTCTTGTTATGAACGATGGAACAAGACACTAGGTGACAATATATCAACTTTATTTACATCTGTATTATCAAAATGAAATGCAAAATAGAAGTTATAAAAATTCTACGAACTACATGGTGAACAAGATAAAATGGTTTGATAGAAATGACAAGGAATTGGATGATGTAACTTCTGAGTTCTTGTGTTGGTTGGTCTGCTGCCATACAGTTAATGAAGGTACGTCAGCAACGGTTCTTGAAAATATCACCACTACAGGAGTATTTGATATCAATATAAACTGTCACATACTGAATCTACAACTCTAGTGTTCACATTTTTCTGCCTGTCATGATTGGTAATATCTTACCAGTTTGTCACCAGTGGTAACATCTTTCCTGTCTCATGGCATGTCGCAGAGGCGGAGCGACCCTTCCCGGCGCCCTCGAACTTTTCATTTGCACCCCCCCCCCCCTCAAACTTTCGATTTGCACCCCCCTCGAACTTTCAATTTGGCGCCCCCCCCCTAAGGTCGGCGCCCGGGGACATGTCACCGCCGCCCCCCCCCCCTCGCTACGCCTCTGGCATGTCGCCAATGGTAAACTGAATTTGTGTAGGTATTCAGGGTTTGTTCCATAAATCAATATGGAGGTTTTTTGGTTTTAAACTACATGCACAGAGCCAGTGTGGGTACTGAGCATTTTAGGATAATTATAGGATTGTTTGGAGCCGTCAAAACTAATAAATAGGTCAGACTCGCAACACAATTAAAAATACAATTTCGTTTAATTGTAATCTCGGCTATATTTTAATATAATTGTTCGCGAGACATCTATTAGTTTTAATTCAGGTTGTTGTATAAAAAATTTAATAAGTTAAAATATTTTATACACTTTATACATAGAGATGCTGCTTATACTTCCAATTCCACCGCGTTTACACTTGCGACATGTATACTAAATATGTCTAGAAAAAAAATCGCAGCAAGTAAGTAGACTATACAAATACATGTTCCGTGGGGAAAAAATGTTTTCATATAACATTAGCTCGCTGCTTGTAAACGACGTAAGGGAATTGTTTGATTTGAATCAAAGTCACGCACAGTTCACTTTCAACGTTTAGATTCGCGAGATTTGGCACACAACTTTGAAAGCTGCATTCAAAGTTTTTTCACCAAGCAGCAGTCTGGCTATCACGTGATTAGCTGCACATCGGAAGCGATGTATAAAATTTTGTTACATTTACTGAACTCAAAGAATTCATTGCGTAGACCCACACGAAAATCTCGACGAAATCACCAACCCCCTCTCACACACTATCTGCCGCGCACATTTTGTGCGCATGTCTTTCTTGTCTTCATAGATGCCGTCCGGCCTCTTCAAGCATTCGTTGGTCAGTTCCCCACAGGGGGCGGGCAAGCTTGACCTGTCCGCGTCATTGACGTCACACCTCTGTTTTTCGGTGTTGTAAATCCCCCGCGAGCAGACGTGAAACCCTGTCATCGTTTGGTTCTCACACGAAAAATAGTGCGTGCATCTTCCGAAGACGTCGAGAAAATTTCCGTCTTGTTTTCCCTTGCAGAGCTGCATATCGCCCTCGTTATCCCCGCACGGAAACGGGACTTCCCGCACCGGCTGGCAACTGGACGAGAAAGGGTTAAACTTGAGCCCGTGCTGACAGCTATGAAAACCACGGAACAGCTGCCCCTGGCACGTGTAGTACAAGTCACAGCGGCCCAGCTCGTCGGGGTAGAGCCCGTCCCTCCTGCCGTTACAGCCTGGTTTCCAGCCGCCATGTTTGCTGGGTATGCTCATCGGCGTCTCGCACGCCCGCGTTATGGGGGAAAACACGGCGCTTGAATCGCAGAGTCCCTGAAGTCAGAATATGTTTGTTTGGTTATAATGTTATAAATTTAGATGATTAAAGCAACAACACATTACTGTTAGAAGTACCATGACAGAGCTGTGAACACCTACACTTGCAAGAAATTTTATAGCTATTTGTGTAGTTGACTAAGTTTAAAATGACAAGGAATATGATGTTTTAGGTTTTGGTAAAGAATTAAAAGAAATGATATAAATTATTAAACTGATAATAACAGTAATAATAGTATGGGCATGTCACATGAGCCAACAGTCTAGCAAAAACAGTAACGGTAGGCTCGTTGCCAGGAGGGAGAAGAAGGGGAAGGCAAATAAGACATTTCGATGGAAGATGTCAAGGAAATGGACTTGTTTATCCACAGGACAGTGTTTCTTCCAGACTTTTTTCTCCGGGGGGGGGGGGGGGGGGGGGGGGGTCGGACACTGGTACAAGTATGTTTTCTTTATAAATGGAAATTATATCGAAGAGATGCCTGGAAGAAACTCTGGTTTCTTCTTCTTGTGGGATTAATAAGATCAGCGGAAGACCAAGAAAGATGGTAGAAAATTATAAGAAAATCAATTCATAATTTTTCCTTTGTGGTACCTGGGGGGGGGGGGGGGAGTAAAGGGCTGCAGTTACAACTCTCCAGAGGTTAAGGGGCGATTGATAAAAAAAAAGTCAACAAACCTGGAAGACAGTTCTCTCCCTGTGACACTCAACAAAAAACGGCTCCCACTCCATCCCCTGCCATGGGTTGAGCCCCTCACTGAGACCTCGGCAGCTGGCGTACCTAACCCAGCAGGGTACACAGTGGGACGACTCGTGGCATTTGTTGGATCGGTAGTCACCTGCAACACACAGGGGGGGGGGGGACGTGACATGACATTCTTGTTATGTGTGTATAAAAGATGTCAAATTGTAGTTTATCTGTTTAAAAAAAAAAAGATTTTCCATTACATTATGTAAAGTGGAAGATCTATTTATTGATAGACATTCTTTAAGAATCACACAGCTAAGAAACCAGCGAGCACCTCTGGTAATGACCTTTAAATATTTCTCCTATCAAACATGTACTTGATCCTAACGATCCCATGGTTATCTTAACTGATTGATGAATGCCGAATAGCTATAAGTGTTAGTACTGGTAAGACTCAAATCTATTCTTAGTAACTATGATCAAAGAATGCCGCTTCACTAAGGCTCGAAGTTAAAACCCCAAAAGAGTTGTGTATATGGAACTAACTTTACATGGAGATTGAGGCTGGGACTTCAGTCCCGGTACAAAGTTTAACAAACATAAGATGGCCGTACACTGAACCAACAGACTCGGGGTGTGCGGACCGCATTAGGGGACACCAACCAAGCGGATGACACCCAAAACGAAAAACAAGATGTTTTTTTTTAATATTGAGAAGATCTAATTTTCTGTTATTTTACAATGTATTGAATATATAAATATATTTACGTATAGAGTAACAACCTCCATTATTTGTGTGCGCATGAGAGAATAACACCTAAATAATTAGTTCTAGTCTATCTTATATAAAGAACAGTGACACCCTGAGTTACCGCACGGGGTGTCACCCTACATAAAGACAACACTGCATGGGACCAAACTTACATGGAGATTTGGGTTCGAATCGACCTTGACATTGGACGTCGTTGAAGTCTTCACACTGCAGGGTCGTCTCCGAGAAGAGCTGAGGGTAGGGGCACTCCAAGATGTACCCGTTAAAGTAGGTCAACATGGCGGCGTCCGGCGTGATGGAGCAGTTGATGTACCAGGCGCAGTTGTCGGGATGGGGAGAGACGAGCTTGCTCTGGTTGCTGCACAACTCTATGGCGTCTGGGGGCAGGCAGGATGGAAACAACAAAGTTAGTGGTAGTGTTCATGATAGAACAAAGTTAGTGGTAGTGTTCTGGATATAACAAAATTAACGGTAGTGTTCTTGATAGAACTAGATCCATAGAATGTAAGGTTTGGAAGGGAAGGTTTACTTTTACTTTACTTTGGGGTATTTGTACGAATTAATTGTTAATGATTCTGAACTTACGGGGAGTAGTTTAATACTAAAAGTAAAGATTCCTCTTTAGATCTAGCGATCCATTGGGCAGATGAATTACAGTTCACCTGTTTCTGTGACCGCGACATATAAAGGGATAGTGTGGTCAGAACTATACCCGGCCGCCTTTACTTTCCCTAACGTGGGTGGACTCAGGGACGATCTACTGACTTGAATCCAGATTCGAACTAGAGACTTACGGGTTAGCAACAGTAGCCGCTCTAAAAATCTTAGCTCTAGAAAAACCAAAAACCAAAACAACGACACGATACAACGACACAAAACAACGACATAAAACACTGACAACTCACCAAACGACAGGAGTGAGGTTTGGCTCCAATGCGCCATCTCCTCACCATCCTCACTCCACTGACCACGCCCAAACTTGACCGACCTGTTCAGCTTGTTGGTCGTCTGCTCCTTCTTCCTGGTCGTGTGGGTGTACACTAGGTTCGACGGTGTCGACACCTTGGTCAGACTAGACCCGAACTGCCTAAACTTCGCCGCCCGTTTCGACATTATGTGTTCCATTGGCTGAACTCGAATTATACGGTACGACGGCGTCGCTGGTGGAGGTAAGTTGTCCAGATTTTTTGTCACCCGGCCAATGTGACCAC